ATTTCTGAATTTCTGAATTTCTGAATTTCTGAATTTATGAATTTCAGAATTTCAGAATTTCTGAATTTATGAATTTCTGAATTTCTGAATTTCTGAATTTCTGAATTTCTGAATTTCTGAATTTCTGAATTTCTGAATTTCTGAATTTCTGAATTTCAGAATTTCAGAATTTATGAATTTCAGAATTTCAGAATTTCAGAATTTCTGAATTTTTGAATTTATGAATTTCAAAATTTCTGAATTTCTGAATTTATGAATTTCTGAATTTCTGAATTTCTGAATTTCAGAATTTCAGAATTTATGAATTTCAGAATTTCAGAATCTCAGAATTTCTGAATTTCTGAATTTCTGAATTTCTGAATTTCTGAATTTTTGAATTTATGAATTTCAGAATTTCTGAATTTCTGAATTTATGAATTTCTGAATTTCTGAATTTCTGAATTTCTGAATTTCTGAATTTCTGAATTATCGAATTTCTGAATTTCCGAATTTCAGAATTTCAGAATTTATGAATTTCAGAATTTCAGAATTTCAGAATTTCTGAATTTCCGAATTTCAGAATTTCAGAATTTATGAATTTCAGAATTTCAGAATTTCAGAATTTCTGAATTTCTGAATTTCCGAATTTCTGAATTTCCGAATTTCAGAATTTCTGAATTTATGAATTTCAGAATTTCTGAATTTCTGAATTTCTGAATTTCTGAATTTCAGAATTTCAGAATTTCAGAATTTCTGAATTTCTGAATTTATGAATTTCTGAATTTCTGAATTTCTGAATTTCTGAATTTCTGAATTTCTGAATTTCTGAATTTTTGAATTTATGAATTTCAGAATTTCAGAATTTCTGAATTTCTGAATTTCTGAATTTCTGAATTTCTGAATTTCAGAATTTCAGAATTTCTGAATTTCAGAATTTCTGAATTTCTGAATTTCTGAATTTCAGAATTTCAGAATTTCTGATTTTCTGAATTTCTGAATTTCTGAATTTCTGAATTTCTGAATTTCTGAATTTCAGAATTTCAGAATTTCTGAATTTCTGAATTTCTGAATTTCTGAATTTCAGAATTTCAGAATTTCAGAATTTCTGAATTTCTGAATTTCCGAATTTCTGAATTTCCGAATTTCAGAATTTCTGAATTTATGAATTTCAGAATTTCAGAATTTCTGAATTTCAGAATCTCAGAATTTCAGAATTTCTGAATTTCCGAATTTCTGAATTTCCGAATTTCTTAATTTCCGAATTTCAGATTTTCAGAATTTATGAATTTCTGAATTTCCGAATTTCTGAATTTCCGAATTTCTTAATTTCCGAATTTCAGATTTTCAGAATTTATGAATTTCAGAATTTCAGAATTTCAGAATTTCTGAATTTCCGAATTTCTGAATTTCAGAATTTCAGAATTTCTGAATTTCTGAATTTCTGAATTTCTGAATTTATGAATTTCAGAATTTCAGAATTTCTGAATTTATGAATTTCTGAATTTCTGAATTTCTGAATTTCTGAATTTCTGAATTTCTGAATTTCTGAATTTCTGAATTTCTGAATTTCTGAATTTTTGAATTTATGAATTTCAGAATTTCTGAATTTCTGAATTTATGAATTTCTGAATTTCTGAATTTCTGAATTTCTGAATTTCTGAATATCTTTAAATTTCTGAAAATTTTCAGTTTCCCTGAGCATGCTCTATTTCTTGGTCCATCAAATTTTTCCGGATTTTGCCATTAAAAATCTCATATTTTTTATAATCTGGCCAGCACTAATTCTGGGAACGATTAGAGCTAATTTAGTTCTTCTAATTACTTTCGACAGATGTTTGGCAGCAAATTTCCCAATTTTTCATCATAATTATCGCTCAAAAATTCCTATCATTCTAATTATCTCAATTTTTCTAATTTACACAATTTTCGAACATTTCGTTCTATTTGGATTTTGTGATTTCACTTTGAATGTTCCAATTAATTGTGATACTTTAATTTGTTCAGTTAACTTGTGTTATTATAATTATTGGCTGCTCTATGAGCAATTAATTTATGTTTTAATTGGATTTTTCACAATTTCTTTGGGTTTTCGACTTTTTGTTTGGAATAATTTTATGGAAACTGCAGCGACAAATCATGTGATTTCAAAAGTGAGTTTTCGAAAAATTCAATATTTTGAAAATTCGAAAAACGTTTTTTTCTTTTTCAGGCAACCAGAATCGCTCTTCTGGATTCAATTATAATATGCTTTTTCGATATCATTCCAACGATTTCATTGGCTCATTTCCCAGCTCTCAGCTTCCCAAATGTTGGTCCATTAAGTGCAGTTTCAAAAAATTCGGGATTTTTAATCGAAGGAATTATTATTTGCTTTTTCTTATTTCGAAAACCAAAAACTACAAGTGTACAAGCCTGGTCGTCCTCTCGGATTTCAAGAAGTTATTGATTTTTTTTCTTTCATATTTAATTATTTTAGTGCTATTTTTTCTAATTTTTTACTATTTTTTCTATTTTTTTCTATTTTTTTTTTCTATTTTTTATTGAATTCGCAATTTGTATATTTTTCATAAAACATCATTTTTGAAATTATTTTTCAAATAATAATTTCAAATGAATCCTGTTCAATTTTTATTTTGAAAAAAAGTTACTCATTGCTCATTAGACTGTGAAAAAAAGTCATGGGATTTTTTTGGGTACACTGTCAGCAAAGTACACATTTTATCAAAATGTTGTTATCTGGATGAGTTAAAAAAAGGGCAAAAAAGAAGTAGAAAGTTGAAATTTATAAGTATGGAAAACACAAACAAAAAAATTTTAAATTCGAAAATAGCAAAATTTGAAATTTTCAGGGCCTTTTTCAGAATTTTCAAGGAATTTTTGCTTAAAAACGGCATATGTGAACAAAAGTGAAGCTTTATTTTTCTTAGTGTACCCTGAAATTTTCAGACAAACTGAAAAAATTCTGGAACATTCTTTCCGACTTTCAATTTTCACTATTTTTCACCAGGGTACTGTATTTTTTTTTCAAATTTGAAATATTTGTTTATTTTTCACAAGTCAACAAATCACACATTTTTTATTCTCTTGACTCCTTTTCGCCTCTGAAATTTTCAGTTTTATCAAAAGATATTAGGTTGGCAGGAAAGTAACTGTCCATTTTTGAATTAGTAAATAAAACAAAAACAAGATTAATCCAAGATTGACAGTATGTACCGTCGTGATCCACAACATGTTGTCAACATTTAGGTAACTCGTGGATACCATTCCTCCAAAAGCCGGCTGGGCGCGAATCAAAGTATTACTGTAGCACTTTTTTTTTCTCATCGATAATGTTAAAGTCCTTACGCTCCAGATGAAGTCGTATATCTTCGAATAACCAATAATCAGATAAAACAAAATCAGAACTTTCACCGGGGTAAAGGAGAACCGTCCAGCCAAAGCGGCTCAGGTACGGCGTGACTTTCCGTGAACATGCGGTTTTTTTCATTTTTTAACGGGTGCAAAATTTGAAAAAATTTTCCCCGTAATTCTTCATAGAAAAATTTACAAATTTTTGTTCAAAATTCATAAAATCTGTCGATTTCTCCGAAATTGGGCAATTTTTAACCAAAAAAAGTGTTTATAACAAACTTCTATTAAATTGTGGAGTTCCCGGATTGTTTTCCACTAAAGAAATACGGAAATTTTCTGATTTCAAAACACATTTTTCACAGAGCTCCCTTCCATTACGGGGGCCTTTCTATTACAAAAGGTCCTTCTATCTTTCCAAGCCTCTCTCGGAGGGCCTTTCTATTAGAGGTGCCCTTGGGGCCCGTGTAATATAGGTTTCACGGTAACTTTTTTTTTGATAATTGCAAGATTTTAGGTGTAGAGACGCAGACGATTAGAAAAATTGCGTAATTCTACACAACAAACAATCTTTTTTGTGTATTGATCTCTTGGTAAAAAAACCACCGATTTCTTGCTTGTCATTTGAAAATGATTTATCATCGACCGAAAGATTAAAATTTCCATTTTCTTATCAGTTTTTTTTCTTTTTTTTTAATTTCAGACTAGACACATTTTCTTTTTTTTTTGAACAATGAATTTCTCTTCATTTTTTGTACTTCTTTTATTCAGTTTTTTGAATTTTTTAAATGCTGAAAAAAATGAAAATATTCTGGATTGGAAGGTAAATTATATTTTTTTATTTTAAGCTTTTTTTTAACTTTCAGAACATTTTCTTGGGTGGTCAATCTGAAAATTTGGCATCTGGAATTGGCGAAAATTGTCAAAATGATACGAAAATTTGGATGGATTCTTTGAAAATCCTGGCAGAGGTTTCTGTAAAATGTTTGGCGGAAAAGAAATGCTCAAAAATGGAGAAAAAGGTGTTGGAAGAGAATTTTTATGCTCTGGAACGTAAGTTTTCGGAAATTAAAAAACTCCAAATTTCTGAAATTCTGTAATTCGGAAAATCATATGCCGTAAAACCTGTATCAGAAGGGCTGGCCCTTCTATTGTTCCAAGGTACCTCCGGAGGGTCCTTCTATTACAGGGGCCCTTCTATTTTTCAGGCCAGTTTTTTCCAAAATGTAGCATCGAAAAATTCGACGAAGTTTTGTTCAAAATTCATGAAAATCTGCCAATTTCACCAAAATTCAACAAGCAGGAGCATTTTCCACTGAAAAAGTACGAAAATTTTCTGATTTCAAAACACATTTTGAATGGGGAATTTGTTTCACAGAGGGCACTAATATTACGGGCGCCCTTCTATTACAGGGAGCCCTTCTATTTTCCCAAGCCTCTCTCGGAGGGCCCTTCTATTAGAGGGGTCTTTCTATTAAAGGGGCCCTTCTAATACCGGTTTTAGGGTATTCGGAAATTCAGAAAATTTGGAAAAATCCATAATTTTCAAAGTTTTTTTTTCCAGAACTCGACGCATTTGGCAAACTACCATCGACTGGAATTTTCGAAATTCCTCTGATTTTTGATGGAAATTATCAAGAATGTCAGAGAATTAGTGGCAAAAAATATGATACCAATTATTGTTATTTGGTCTTGGTTCCGGGAAAGGTGAGCATTTTTCAAATTAATTCTTTTTTTAGAATTTCTGAATTCCTGAATTTCATTTTTTGCATAACTCCTCTTGCTCCTCATCCGGCTCCTCTGGTCTCTCTCCATCCGCCACCTACTTCAGAAGTGCCACGTGTATGTCCGGATCCTGTAACTCAGAAGACCTCCCGATTCTATTCAACAATTTGAAACTAATTCCCTTCACAGCGTGCGCAGCATTTTGTTCCAAATTTCCAGTTGAAAAAAATTCCGGATTTTGGGGATTTTCCATTTTTCTGGCGGCTATGATAGCAATATTATTGATTGCCAGTGTTTTGGATTTTGTTTTGGAGAAGAATAACATCGAGAGTTCTGGAAGCATGCTGAAAATCCTATTTTGTTTTTCGATTTGGAGCAATTCAGAAGTCATATTATCAGTGAAAGAGCAGAAAGTTGGATTTATCAAATCAATGGATTCAATTCGATTTTTATCAATGCTTTGGGTTGTTACAGGACACACTTTTACATTTTTAATACCCCCAGGTACAAATCAAAAAATTTTTCAACCGATTTTCAGACAAATAAATGTGTTTCAGACACCCTAAAATCTCTATCCAACTTCACAAATTCCTACTGGAATCATTTAATTTTAAACGCATTTTTCTCCGTTGACACTTTCTTCTTGTTATCTGGAACCGTTGTGGCCTATCTATTTTTCAAGCAGAAGCCCACAAAGTCACAAATTTCAAGTCCGATGACGTGGATTTTGTTTTATGTACATCGATTTTTGAGGTTGACACCTCCTTATATGATCTTCATTGGATTTTATGTGGTTTATGGACAATATGTGCAAGGACCATTTTCGGCGAGTCAATTTAGTGAGTTTTTTAGAGTTTTCAAAGTGATTCGAACAGTCAAGCTTATGAAAATGGCAAACGTTTTTTGTATATCTTATCGACAGCTACTGTATACAGAATTTTCAAAAAAATTAGTTTTTTCGAAGTGTTTCAGACAAAGCACCGAATTTTACAACAAATTGAGCGAAAATTCATGGGAAACGATTTTGACACTTTCATGACGGGTTTTAAACTCTGGGAACATAAAACTTGCTTAAAGGAGGGGAGACATCAAAACTTTCAAAATTTCCATTTTTTCTCAAAAGATGTAACTCTGAAGTATAAATATAGCCATGTACTTAAAAACCTGAGAAAAACACTTCCCCAAGAAAAAAATGCTCTTTTTTGTCACTCTAATTTCTTCACCCGCTTGCTGCTGCGGCGTCGCTTCATAATGTGCAACAGTGCGATGGTCGCCTCTAGTGTGCTGTGTCGATTGTTGACAATCGACAAAAATCGATCAAAAAAAAAATCGTTAAAATCGGTGTCGATTTCGTCGACTCGATCAAAAATCGACATTCAAAAAGTCGACAGAAAATCGACTTTTCAAAAGTCGATGAAAGCGAAAATCGACGAAAAATCGACGAAAAAATCGACTTTTGTCGACTTTTGTCGACTTTATCGTCCGAGAGGACTACACGGCCGGTGACCTAGAAACTGCCTGTGGCCGGGGTATTTTTCATGAAAAACAGGCATTTTTCATCGAATTTTCTACTGAAAAACCGTATTTTCCTTGTTTTTTTTGGGTGTTTTGTTTTTTTTTCTGTTTCATTTATGACATTCTTGCTTATTGCAGATGAATTCGTCACAAAACCAAACTAAAGCGGGGCGATACTTCGAAAAACAAAATAACGGACAAACTGTGACCTGTAAACTGTGCGGAAGGAGCATAAGTTCCATTCTTCGACCACAACGATGCATCAGCACTTAAACAGTCACCACGAGAAAGAAGTTGTAAAAATGGAAAGATCGGTAAGCAGAAAATTATATATTTTTCGTTAAATTCTTAATTTTAGATAGTACATAAAGATCAAGAGCCACGGCATCAAATAATTGGAAAAAATCGCTTTGGAGTAAGATATTAAAGCTTATTTTTCCTCAAATCTGATTTTTCTTTAGATCTACGAAGAAGAATACGTCGACAACAGAAGAGTACGAATATGATGACGAGAATGATGACTCAGAAGGCGTAGAATATTACGATTCCAGAGAGCATAACGATGATACTTTTGGAAACGATTTGGCCCAAATAATGAAACATTAATTCCTAATGCTGAACTTTGTTCTTCTGTTTCTTCTCTTTTTCAAAATTTTGTCGCTTTGAATTTTTTTCTAATTTCCTTGCCATCTTCTGAATACTGATTCTCTATTTTGTACCCCGTTGAAATTAAGTTTTACACTATTTGTTTTTTTATTCATAAAAATAAAGTTGTTACTCTACACAAAAAATGATTTCTTCAAAAAATTAGAAAAAAATTTTCTCGAAGTGAAATTTTACTTTGTAGTCCGGAAAAGTCGATTTTTCGTCGACTTTTGTCGATTTTTCTGTCGATTTTATGTCGACAGAAAAATCGACAAGAATCGATTTTCGCCGACTTTCGTCGACTGAAAGTCGACAAAAATCGGCAACGAAAAGTTCGATTTTTATCGACAAATAGCCTTGTCGAATTGTTGAATGTCGACTGTGTCGATTTTCAAAGTCGACAAAAATCATCGATTTTCGAGTCGACTCGGCACTCTAGTCGCCTCTTACACGCGTAGTGTAGTAGGTACGCGCGCTGTGAGACGGCGGAAAGCCGGCGGCCGCCGGCGTTTTCCCAGCTCTGATAAAAATGACAGAAAAAAAGGTTCAAATGGCTGAGAAGAATTGGCTATACATCTTTTCTAATAGGCTTTTTTTTTTCTTAAAAATTTCTTAAAAATTCGGCTTGTTTTGGAAACTACAATTTTCAAGTTTGCAGAGCTGAAACAGTACGAAAAAAACAATAATATAGAATTTTCTAGAATTCCAACAATTCCAAATTTCCAGATACCCTGCTCCCCGGAATCCAAACCTGCCAATCCTACTGGTGGAAGAATCTACTGTACATGAATAACATGGGCGATGCGGAGACGGCCTGTTATGCTCCGTCCTGGTACCTAGCAGTGGATACTCAATTATATTTAATTGCCCCAATTATCCTAATTGGTCTCTGTTTTTCTTCTTTAATTGGGTCGATTATAGCCGTGATTGGCTGTGTAGCAAGCGTGGTTACAGTATACATTTTATATTCAACTTATGATCTTCCCGCGGACTTTTTTGGAAATGGGTAACACTAAAATAATTTTATTTTCAAAAATTTAGAAAATTCCAGAAACACAAATCTGCTCTACGACATGATTTACCATAAGCCATGGATTCGATGTCCCCCATATTTCATGGGACTTCTCGTTGGCTATTTTTTAGCCAAGTTTGGGTCCCAAAAAGTTAAAATTCCCTGGATTTTGGCTATTTTCGGATGGATTTTGGCTTTTGGTCTTGGAATTGCATGCATGTTTTGTACATATGATTATGACAAAGGCGTGAAATGGAGGTTAGTTTTGGAAAATTGAAAAAAGTTGGGAAATTAAAAAATGAAATTAATTTTTTTATGTTGTTTTTGTGATTTTTAGGGATTTGGATGTGTGAAATTTGGTCGAAAAATTTTCTAGGCTACATGTATCCTAGAATTTAGTTTTTAGGTCATGACCTAGATTTAAATTTTCATGTCATACCATTGATTTCAATTTTTAGATTGTGACCCAGATTTCAATTTTAGGTCATGACCTAGGTTTTTAATTTTAGCCCATGACCTAGATTTTCATTATTGGGTCACGACCTAGACTTCAATTTCTAGGTCATGGCCTAGATTTCAATTTTTAGGTCATGACCTAGATTTCAATTTTTAGGTCATGACCTATATTTTAATTTTTAGGTCAGAACCTAGATTTTCATTATTGGGTCACGACCTAGACTTCAATTTCTAGGTCATGGCCTAGATTTCAATTTGTAGGTCATGACCTAGATTTCAATTTTTAGGTCATGACCTATATTTTAATTTTTAGGTCAGAACCTAGATTTTCATTTTTGGGTCATTACCTAGACTTCAATTTATAATTCATGACCTAGATTTCCTTTTTTAGGTCATGACCTAGTTTCCAATTTTTAGGTCATGACCTAGATTTCAATTTTCAGGTCATGACCTAGATTTCAATTTTTAGGTCTTGACATAGATTTCCTTTTTTAGGTCAGGACCTAGTTTCCAATTTTTAGGTCACGACCTAGTTTCCAATTTTTAGGTCATGACCAAGATTTCAATTTTAGGTCATGACCTAGATTTCAATTTTTTTTAAAATTTCCAGCATTTTTGCTCGAGCAACCTACTACAATTTCTCTCGTATTGCCTGGTCATTTTTTGTCTCCTGGGTCATTATCGCCAATCACATGGGTTGGGGAGGTACAGTAATCCAAATCTACGGTAATCTTCAAAAACTACAGTAATCTGTCTCTCCCAGGACCAATTGATAACTTCATGTCCCATACGATATGGCAACCATTGGGCAGGTTGTCCTATTGTGTATATATTGTCCATTTTTTCACACTTTTCTGGTTTTTAAACATCAGCGATCATTCCATACATTTCTATTCTACGTTTCAGGTGGTAGGTTGAAATTTTTGAAACTTCAAAATTTCAAAAAAAAGTTTTCTTCAAAAAAACCAAAAGTTTGTAGTTCATCTACTATGCTGTTCCTGCTTGTCTTTTATCATACATTTTTGCATTTTTCTGGAGTTCTCTTTTCGAAATTCCAATTTTAAAGTGAGTTTTCGGGTTTTTTGGAGCTTCTAGGCATCAATTTTTTTCTTTTAAAAAATATGTAAAATTCAAACTTTTAGACTCGAAAAAATGATGATTGAGGGTTTAATGGGAAGAACGAAAAAAAATCAAGAAGTGGAAAATCAAGGATTGGAAAACGAGAATTCATTAGAAGAAGATAATTCTGGAAGTTCGGAAAGATTAATTACACTTTGATTTGTTTTGAAATTTTGATAAATATTTAACTTTATGAATAAAGAAAGCATCGAGATCAATTGGATGATGAAGAATCACAGAACTTCAAAAAGTCAAATCCCAGATTTCAGAATTTTCGGTTCTTGATTGGAATAACACAAAAAAGATTTTGAAATGTTTCAAAAAGTTAGGTCTTCTAAGAGTTTCCATTTTGAGAGAATACAAGTCTTAGTTATTAGCCTTGTCAGAGAAATAAAGGTTGAGTCGAAGTGTATGCGATGTTTGTAAACAAATATCTGAAAGCGTAAACAACCGGAAACAGTTGAAACGAGTGCGACAGTAACCCGGCGAGAAAATGGTAAATTTAC